TCCCGCTCCAATGGGCAGCGCGGGCGGGAGCGGCCCTCAGGGCGGCCGCAGGTGCGGGCAGGGCGCGGAGCCTGCCGTGGCCGTACGAGGAGAGGGGAGCTCCAGGCGGAGCATCGGCTGGGAGCAATCCCTGCGTGTCGCACGCCGGGCAGGAGCTCACACACCCCGAGGGGAAACATCGATTTTGGAGGGAGAGGGATGGCCCGTCCCCTCTTGGGCGCTGAGGGCCCGGCGCGCTTGCCCGTGGGGAGTCTTTGTGGGTAGGACCTGGTGGGGAGCGGTGAAGGTTGTTAGAGGCGCTGCCTCAGCCGCCAGCAGGCAGTGCCCTAAATCTACAGGGATTCGGTTCAGGTCTCTCAAACCATATCGCAGGATGGATCAGGTTGGAAGGGACCATAGTGAATCATGTGGTACAATCTCCCCGTTAAAGCTGGGTCATCCTGTCTCACATTGCACAGGATTGCATCCAGGTGGTTCTTTATTATCTCCAGTGAGGGAGACTCCACAACCTCTCTGGGCAACCTGTGCGTGGTCACCAGCACAATAAAGTTCTTCCTCATGTTCAGGTGGAACTTCCTGTGCATCAGTTTCTTCCTGTTGAAGAGCCTGGCTCCATCCTTTTGATGTTGCCCTTTGTATGCTTATATACACTGATGAGGTAAACCAATCTTACAAATGTCCCAACTTGTGAATTGTAGCTTCTTAAAACAAGGAGACCTTTTGGAATATGTGATCTGTGTAGCTTGCGCTGACAGACTCACTAGGGGTTGGTAGGATATCTGGAGATCATCTAGGGCTGCAAGTCAGCTAGGGTGTTTTTCTCAGGACATGAGTTGGGTCTTCAGCTCCAAAATTTGAGACTTCACAACCTGAGAAACAGTGATCACCCTCACTGGGAAAAAAAAAAATATTCTCATGTTTAATGGATGTGTCTATTACTCCAGTTCATGTCCATTTTTTCTTGTCCTGTCACTGGACACCACTGTGAAAAATCCCACTCCATCTGCTTTACTCCCACCCTCAGTCCTCATCCACACCAGCAAGAGTGCCCTGAGCCTTCCCCAAACCCAGGGATCACAGATGATTATGCATCACACGCCCAAGCTCTTCACCATCTTCATGGATTTTAATCATCTTCATGGCAACCAAGCGTTGTAAGGAATGATATGGCTTCATTTTTCAATCCAGTGCCAGGAAACAAGTCTGAGACATCACCAATCCAACAAAACAACCTGCCCCCTGCAATACCTCTGAATCCTCTGATGTTACGGTGGATCTTTGCCAATGCTCTGACACTTGTTAGCACTGCCTTCATCTGTTTCTTTGTAGGCAGGACCTGGGTCTTGGACAGTACTATCCCTCTCTAGCAGTGGTCATAAAAGCTACCAATACTGTCATCTTCATCTCAAAAATACAGAACTGATGCTTATGCATGCTCATGATTGTAATCAGAAATGTGAATAAGCACAATGGCACGTCAGGAACTTCCCATCTCTGCTATTTGCAGTGCTGTTGAAAAGGCAGAATGACTCAGGCTTTTGCTCATTTTTCTGAGCCTTAAAAAAAAATTAGCATTCAAATTGTCTCTAAAAGGAAGAAGCCTTATGTAGCCAATACTCCACTTCCAACACATCTCTGCTATGTCCTGTAAGAAAAGATTTTAGAGCTTTTATACCAAATGCCAGAGAAGCCAAACAAAACCCACAAATGAACCAGAACTGCAGCGTTTTCCCAAGATTCTAAATTTTGTTTCTAACAGTTCATATTAGTGAAAATGCACAATTAATGACTGTTCAGCAATAGCAGTGCAGCTGAGATTGCAGCAGAAGAAACACAGTGTTCTTGCCTGATGAGATGTGGAACTGCAGGTTCACAACTGCAAGTGTAGATAAGGGTGCTGGCACAACGTTTTTTCCATTCTTCCATTGTCATTTCGTTTTCTGACTCTTTATGCTCATCATTACTGTCTCTCCCTCTTAATAGGGACAGCAGTGGGAATTTTTAAAATGCAAAGGAATTCAGCTGAGGGAAGAGGAGAGGTAACACAGGCATTCACATTGTGGCTGACCAGAATGAGGACGGCTCTTCATCTGCAGCAGCTGCCCTCTTACGGCTCAGCAGCTGCAGCATCAGCCCCGGGTTTAGTGACACA